GATCACATAGGCGTCCAATCCACTAAATCATAATCCAATGTACAAAGGTAGATATACAATAATCTTACCCAAGTGCCCCACACAAGGTACATACCCAGTCTACACAGGTTTAGTGGATTGTTGAAGATGGAGAGTCATGCATACAGAAGTCCGATGAAATCCCTTCACTTGGAGAGCCCACTCTGATGCAGTCCACTTCAATGACGCTCTATACAGTTGTTCCCACAACAGTGTGATCACAGTGTCCTTTCGTTTAAGCAGCAGTGATTCTTCTCAAGTTCATCATCTTAATCACCATGAACATGTTGTATTGAGAAGATGCATGATAATCAAAGATCTAGTCTCATATAGTAGATGTGGAGTGTTTCTTCTTGCTTATGGCGTAACCCTAATTCTCATTGAATGATGGTACTTATAGATCCGTAGATAGAACACTCCTTCCAAAGATGTCTTTGATTGTAGATGGTACATGGTAGGACATTATTTGAAGAATGTAATCTTAAAGATTCGGTCCATACCTTTCCAAAGCAGATACGCTAATCTTCCTTCCAAAACTGTCTTCTGCAAAACCGCGTATAGCTTTTAAGTAAACACCTCCTTAAATCAGATCTTCAGTGTCAGTCCTTCTGTTGTTGCTTCTGATTGATCAGTCGTCTGTAGAGCTGGACGGACACACGCTAAACCTATCTTAGTATGCCATAATAATATTGCCAATTATAAGATGGAGTTTTTTTTTTTTGAACAATTAAAAACACTAAATTTTAAAAAGGTTTAATATCTAATAACATTTTATTTTAAGTTTGTAATATTTTGAGCTAGCTTCAACATTACATCTTTTGAAAAATGCCTTAAGTTTTCTTTTGATCCTCCGCCACTTGTTTGGGATGCCGGCCTACTAGCAAAGCATAGCAAGCATAGCTAGTGGCGGATTCAGAAATTTTGTTCAGGGCGGGCGAAACATTAAAACAAAAGAGATAGCTTAAAAAGAATGAAATAGTTAAGAAATTAGTCATAAATATTGTTAGATATGAGCGGAAAAAATATATTTATAACAAAATATGAAACATGATTAATTTGATAAAATAATTCTAATAGAAACACATTATAAATTACACATTTTATTATTAATAGAAAACACATTATAAATAATACTAACACATCTGAAGTTAGCCATAAATATTGTTAAATATGAGCGAAAAAAATAAAAATATTTATAGCAAAATATAAAACATAATTAATTTGATAAAATAATTCTAATAGAAAACACATTATAAATTACGCATCTTATTATTAATATAAAACTATATACATATATTTTGAAAGTCAACATAGCATAGAATTAAACCCCCAACCTTCTTTAGACTAACACGCATATTCTACCATCTGGGGTAACTTCTCTTTTATTAATATTTGCTGTTTTCTTTTACTTATATTTAAACCTTGTACTATATATACGTACATATATACATACAAGGGTTATATATAGGGTGGTGGTACTGCCCCCACCGTAGGTCCGCCCCTGAGCATAGCACCCATATATAGTTACTATTAGAGGATATATGCATGAAGTAGTTACTATTAGAAGATATATGCATGAAGTAAAACCCATCTTTTGATTCAAAGAGATAGAGGACTAAATAGTTGAGGATATATGCACGAAGTAAAGCCCATCTTTTGATTCTAAGGGACAAAAAAACTACATAATTGACCGTCTCATACTGCTATAGTAGAAAATTGAATTTGTAATTGTCTAAAGAATGTTAAGGATATGAGTGGTTGACACATTCTATCTCCCTGATTTAATAATACTACTGATTTTGATTTTTAAAAAAAAACAAAAAAAAAAACAAAAAAAACAAAAAAAAAAAAAAAAAAACAAAAAAAAAACAAAACAAAACAAAAAAAAAAACAAAACAAAACAAAAAAATAATATAATTTTTTAGCAGGATGGTCTTTATTTTGACAATTTTATTTATTTATTTATTTTAAATTCAAATTACAGATTTGTTTTTTTTTTAATCAAGCGGATCAACTATATGGGATAGTAACTGTAAACTTTTTATTATAAATCAAAGATTAATATGCTCATCTAGGACCTCAATTGAAGTCATATTAAGTTCATTCATACGTTACATCTCTATTTTAGAGTAAATTCTTAACCTATTAATGACTAGTACATTACAACTTTTCTATATAAAACCTATTTTATTCACTCCTACAGCCTAATGTTTATACTCTGTAATCTGTAAACTAGAATTGGTGTATCTCTAGAATTTTTCAGATTCTAGAACAATGGCGGAAGCAAATATCTTTGAACTCAACAATGGCACAATCAAAGTTAAGGTTTCAAACTATGGCTACACCATCACCTCTTTGTCTGTACCTGATAAAGATGGTATGCCGCCTTCATTTCTGTCATCCAAATCGTTTCGCAATTCACTGATATAAAGATCCCATCTTTATCCGATATTCTCTTGCTTGTGTGATTTTTGAAGGGAAATTGGATGATGTGGTTCTTGGATTCGACACGCTTGAACCCTACCAAGTGAGTTTTGTGAACCCATTTGATATTTTGTGTTTTCTTATGAGGAATTGGTGATGATGATGATGATGAGGAGATGAGTTCAGAAAGGGATGGCTCCATACTTTGGATGCATTGTGGGGCGGGTGGCCAATCGGATCAAAGATGGGAAATTCACACTCAATGGAGTTGAATATTCTTTGCCATTAAACAGGCCCCCCAACAGTCTCCATGGTGAGAGTCTCGATGTGCAAAATTCTTCAGAATCAGAATGTAGTATAAATTCTATTTCGTTGCTATTTGATTCGATGAGATATTGGATAGTAGCTTAGTTTGAGTCAAGCAGGATCATTTAAGAGAAGCCCTCAACCACTACCCGAAGTGCACTTTTGCACCGGGTGAAGCCTGCTTTGTGAATTGTGATGATTGGCTCAAGCCAAGAAGGCTAATAGATAATTGAACTTTGAACATTGTGATTATTACCAATATACACAACCTAGTGAGTTGAATTATTTTGCCTGTTTTTTCTGTTTAAGGTGGAATGAAGGGATATGACAAGGTTGTCTGGGAGGTTTCTGAATTTAAGGAGGGTGAAAATCCATCAATTACCTTTAAATATCATAGCCATGAGCCCATGATGGGGATGAAGGTACATATCACATCTTTGTAATGCAATCTTTATTGATATTTTTTTTTTTTTTATTTGTTTTCATATTGCACTTTGTATCCAAACTAGGTTACCCTGGAGATCTTTCCATTACTGCAACATACAGTCTTACTGCTAAGACAACACTGAGGCTTGACATGGAAGTTGTTCCTGGAAACAAGGCAACTCCAGTAAGTTTGGCTCAACATACTTAATGGAACCTCGCCGGCCACAATTCAGGGGACATTCTTGAACACACTGCTCAGTTGTGGGCTAATCACTATACCCCTGTGGACCAGAACACTATTCCTACCAGAGAAATAAAGCCGGTTAAAGACACTCCGTTTGATTTCACCACTGAGAAGAAGATTGGCCGGGATATCCAGCAGGTTGGTTTAGGATACAACCACAACTACGTACTTGACTGTGGAGTCGTCGAGAAGTCTGGATTGAAACATGCGGTGAAGATTAAGGATCCCAAGAGCGCAAGGGCTCTTAACTTATGGACGAATGCCCCTGGCATGCAGTTCTACACCGCGAACTATGTGAATGGGGTTGTTGGAAAGGGTGGAGCTGTCTACAATAAGCATGCAGGGGTTTGTCTAGAGACTCAGGGCTTCCCAAATGCTGTCAACACACCAAATTTCCCATCCATTATTGTCCAGCCTGGGGACAAGTATCAACACACCATGGTGTATGAGTTCTCAGTTGAGTAAAAGGTGGTTGGTGATTTTGTAGTAGTAAATTCTCCAAAGTTACTGCCTTTGGTGTAACTATATTTGCACATTTTGCTTCAACCCCACTTTTGGTAATGAGACATCTTTACTGTCTAAATAATTGCTATCTTTAATGATTACTTCATTTTGCTTTTTATGTTACATGTTATAGTCCTATAGATCTAAAGTTGAGGCCATTATTCCATTATAAAGCTATAGGAAGGGATTAGACTTGTTTGATTGGGGTACCACATAACAATCAATCTCGTCTTAGTTTACATAATTATTTATAGTCGTTTAGTAGAATTATGCCAGCTGATTTTGTCTATAGATTGTCTTTCTAGCATGTTTTCCTCCTTCCCGTCGTTCCAGAGCATTACCTTAGGTAATAGAATTATTTATAAAATGTAAAATTTTAAAAGTGTAAGCTTGAGTTGTGAGATAATATTTTAAATAAAGAATTATATTTAAGTTATATAGATTAATTTACTTTTAATTTACTTTAATGTCATCTGCTGCTGCTGCTGCTTATTATATAAAGGTTACTTAACATGTCATCTACACATGTTTTATCCCTAGATCAGCTAATAAACTTGCTCATGCGTTAGCTCAGACTGCTAATTCTCAGTCTGAATCTAGTTTTTGATTTCTTAATGACCCTTCATGTATTCAACATTTAATTAATAATTAATTGATTGCTGGTTTTAATTTTCAAAAAGAAAAAAAAAAATAACAAGGGCAAACTGAAAATATTAGTTTTGAAGTAATATAACAATATTATACCTTTATCAAAAAAAAAAAAACAATATTATAGCTACATTACCTAGTAATAATCTTATAATACTTAAACCAAACACCACCATAGTGCCAATCTTTTTTTTTTTTTTTGCGTGACTAAGGAAACTATAGCATCTATGCTAGGTGTATATTAGGTAAACCTCGTATTATAACCTTAATTGACAAAAGGTCACAATGAGGCAACTTAAGTCGTCCATAAGTGACTGGCTCAAATCAAGTAGGCCAAAATCGAAGTTTAAAACTTGTAATTACTAAAAAAAAAAATTTGACCAAGTTAGCTAAGAGATCATATAAAGGAGAACTTTAACCAAATGCACAATGACAGACAAACAAGATTAGTAATAATGGTGCATTGCAAAATTACATTGTGTTCTGGTGCCCATATGATTTTGATTAATAGCCAAACTTCCTATGGCCTTCTATTTGTCTTCTATTATCAGATGCGCTGAAAAGTTCAAGCAAATAATCAAAAAACATCTCCCTCCAATGACCTTTTTGTATTAAAAGCTTGATTATTATTGATCTGTACAAATTGGGTTGAGAGAGATTAACAAATTGTATTTCCAACAAGATAAATGCGTCCCACAATCGGCACAGCATATTCTGTTGGATTCAGTTGACGTGCCAAAACTGAAATAGCAGTCATTGCTGTTAAGAAAACTTCGTTTGCACGAGAAATACTCAGTTCTGCACAAACATGCACACAAACATGTAAAGCTTAAGGCAAGACTTTATTAATCAACTTCTTGCCTGAATTCCTTATTGGCAAAGAGTTGAGCAACTACCTCCTTTTGTTGTCTCACTTTGTCCGTACCAATTCCAAAGGTATACTTTCCATTGCCGTCTAAGTTTAAAAAATATGACATTTCAGCTTACATGCAGATAGAAAATAGTGGTTATTGAAAAATATAAACCAAAAGATACTTACCCATGCTGTTGGGGTTTGGAAATCAGACTTGTGATTCAACTTGGATAGCTCCGACTGAAAAGTAATGACTATAGTCATTTTGAACTCTATTGAGAATGGTCTGCACAATGGAACAGTTAACCATAACATACCAAGTGTGAATTATAACCACATAAAGAAGATAGGTACTGCAATTACATTAGATAAGTCATACAACATAAGCTCTAGGGCACTATATTAGAAAATCAAAGCACTAGATAAGTGTAGGCACAATTTAAAAGCAAAATACATAATTGTGCAATCAAAATACCCTGCAAAAGTGGTGGGGCACGTCAAAAGACGTGGAAGAATTATGTAAATGGGTAGAGTCAACTGTTTGCACACATCTCCATCTGCTATCTAGCAAAAAGAAGAAATTGATCAAGAGCAAAAGATGGGGTGTAATGTGTAACAATCAAAGCATATGAAAACATACTAGTGACTTCATACCTGTATTGTCTGAATCAGAGAGGTTTCAGTCGCTATCTTTTCCCCAATCAGAATTGACTCTACCCTAAGCAAGTGAATGTCAATGGACTGAATGGGGACCGCAGATGCATCAACTGTCAGCTCACCAACAATAGGATCGGCTAACGAACACTGGGAACATACTTTACCAATTATCTTGAACTCACCTGTTCAGGGAAAACAGCTTTATGCTTCAGTAGACAAATCTAAACATACTATCAAGATGCAATACTCTGAGGAAAATCTAAGAAGCAAACCTAATTTCAGATGAGAAACTAATAGATGTCGTTGAGTGTCCTGAGTTATATAAAAGAAGACCATTTCAGGAGAAATAGGTTTCTCTGGGAGAGTATCTGTAGAAAAAATCATGGAAAAGGTTGACTCACTGTATTCATTTGGAAAGAAAATACCAAAAAGACAGTCAACAAAATGTCCCCTACCTTTTTCACTTTCAATAATGAACTCCATTGTGGCAGTCAAAGATTTTTGCAGATAACCTCTGACAATATCTATGGTGGCCAGATACTAAGACAACAGGTGCACCAAGAATGAGACAATTGTAGTAAAGATGCTTCAAAAGTACAGTATGGTTAAAGCAACAAACATAGATTGATGGTTACAACAAAAACTAGACCTGGATGCTGAGGTTTCCTCCATGAAATGTTTCGTAAAATTTTTCAAACTGTTCTTCTCCTTTATCTTTCAGGACCACAGAAAATGGGATCTAGAAGAAGAAAAAGGATAAGTGTGGATAAAAAATTTAAAAAAAGAAAAAAAGTACAGTATATTGATACCAAACAAATTGGAGTTCTAGTCCATACACAATATCTCTTTTTATTCTTTTAACTTCACCATAACTTGTGCACGCCCATCACATTTCATTCTTGAATTCTATTCTTTAGATGCATTCCATAAAGGAATCAACCTTTTATGCAGAAGTCATTATTTCTAGGAATGTGTTAATCCGGAACACAATATACCTCTGTTTTACCAGAACCAATCCTTCCAGGTTTCTGGACTTCCACACTCTTATTCCTGTGATGCATTGGCAAAATTTTATTTGTAGTAAAGGCGACAATTAAGACACAAGGAATTTAGAAGAATTCACCAGGGAAAATTGTAGAAACTTGCAATCTCATATGAATCAAAACACGTAAAAATATCAATATCACGAAGAACAGGCAAAATGGGAAAAACTAGCATTGTCATATCATCCATGTGAAACCAAAGGCCACAAAACAAAGAAGAAAAGAGACACTTAATTTGTTTAGCTTGGTTAGATCAAATGCCTAGTAAATTCATTGCATCATATCCACATATTTTGCAAATAGCAAGACTCAGTAAATATATGTTAGCAAAACAGAAAATCAAAGCCTACCCTGAAAAACATGTCATCAACAGAATCCACTAAACAATAATAATACCCTGTTCACTTAATATGAAAAAATTTTGGGGAAAGGAAAATGTTTAACATGAAAAGATTTTCCAGCATTTAGTTAGTATTGCTAGAAAACACATTACACTTGTTTGGTTAGGAATATTTATGGAAAAAATAATACTCCATAACAATAACAAGAAAAAGAAAACATGTATCTTTTGATTCGTAAAAGCTTTTTACCCTGCTGGTGTAAAAGTGAGGTTTCTAGGAAAACTTTCCAGTAAAGTGAATAACAAAAACCTAAAACATTTTCTGTACACAAAATGTTCATCCTACATGAAGTGAACTCATTGTAGTCAGACTAGAAAAAGCAGAAAAAATAAGGATATATTCAAAACGGACCAAGAAAGCACTTATTTGCACTTTTGCTTCTACTTCCAATTTTCATCACACTTTTAAACTTCACATCAAGAAATGCAATAAATCAAGTTCCCAATAAAAAAACTGCAATTATTGACTTGTTAAGTAGCAAAGGGGAACATACACAATGGGGATAGGCTTAATCACGCCGTAAAAGGACTCTACTATCCCAGCTGATCCTCCACGAACCTAAAAGCTCAAATTTAAAATTTTGATAATAAGCATAATTTAAAAATAATAAAAAAAAAATATTGCTCATAAATTATTTCCTGAAGCTGTGTAATTTTAAGTTATAACACAAATTTATCAAAAAATTATTGAAAGTGGAAATTAGAACCTGCAAATTGACTGATCCACTGATTTTGAGCCGAATGCCCCGGTGAGATATGGACGAATCCAGATTAATTACGACCTTTCCCTCCAGAGGTTCCTGCAATGAACATTTATCGAGAAAAAATAAGTTAAAAATTATAAGCCAAAATCTGTAGTCATATTTGGATACATATATTTGTGTGTGTGTACAGAGAGAGAGAGAGAGTACGTTAGGGCGAAAGATACGATTTGATCGGGAAAATTTGATTTCTATTGACATGATTACGACGCCGGCGACTCCGTAGCTGATCGAGTAGGCGGAGCTCACTGCCAGTCTGCTATGTATGACTCTTTAATCAAACTGGACCGGTAACTGTCAGCAAATCACGAACCCGGTTTGACTTCAACCCGTTTGGGCATCAAACTTATCGGATTGAGTTAATTAAGCTTTTTTTTTTTTTTTTGAAAGCCAAAAGCAGTGGCATATATTAGCGAACGAGCGAAGCAATAGAGTTAGGAGGGATAAAATCTCAATACAAAGAGACATCCTGATCAATAGCTACTGATGTTAAAGTATGAGTATGTAAGTTAACTGATTTAGAAACAATATTTAAAGAGCAATAATTAAATAAAGATATTATCATCCGGCACTGGTCTACTACCACCTCGACATAAGATGAGATAATCGTAGGAGTGGAGTGTAAGGAATTTCGTAACTCTGAGCAATCTGTGAGGAGATCCACGTCCAGTTCGTTTCGTTCCTTAAGCCAAGATAAAGCCTCCTTGCAGGCAAGCGCTTCAGCCATAAGGGGTGAGAAGCAACTCGGGAGCTTTCCGTTTGTTGCTACTTTGAACGAGCCATCTGGACTTAGCAGGACCACGCCATACGTTCCTTCTTCGGAGATCGGTCGATAGCCTGCATCTACATAACAGCGAGGCCGGGCATGAGGAGGCGCTGCTGCTGTCGCACCGTGCTACTACCGTGGAGAGCCTTGATGCGCTGCTACATACGCATGCAACGACGCTGCAGCCCTTCTCCATACGCAATCTGGCCGCATCAACATCCCATTCCACACGGCTCCATTCCGGGCATTCCACAAGTGATAGAGAACGACAGCCACCATGCAAAATTGTTCCTCTGTTAAATTAACCATCGCATCCATGAGCCATATAGGAAAAGAATCAGCCACAATATTTGTGACTGGTAATTCCGTAACATTCCAGACAAGTTTAGAATAATCACAAGAAACAAGTGAATGCATTATATTTTCATGAGATAATCCACACATTGGGCATGTTGGGTCAACTTCGACTCTCCGTATAAGTAAATTATTTGTGGTAGGGAGCATGTCACACAATGCTCTCCACAGAAACGTTTTCCATTTTGGCGGGACTTTCAGTTTCCATAGTGTAACCCATTTATCAAAAGCACATGGGTTATGATCAAAATTACCAACAATCTGCTTGTAACCATTTTTAATTGTATATATAATCCTTTTGGATCACTGAGCCAATACCACGAGTCCTCATAATCCGGACTAATAGGGATTCTAGATATACGAGTCACATCATCCGGATGAAACAAATCAGATAAAATATGAGGATCCCATGTACTAGTCTGTTGGTCAATTAGGCCTACCACCAAAGCTTCTCGCAGTTCTTCTGGCATAACTATCTGAACTAGGGGGTTGGGTCATCAGGTAACCATGGGTGGCCCCAAATTAATGTTGTTTTACCATTCCCAACTCTCCTACGTACCCCCAGAGCAGACCATACCATGTGCAACCATAATACTTCGCCAACAATAACTTGGAGAAGTCCCAATAGTCGCATCAACAAAGGAAGTCGTTGGATAGTAACGAGCTTTGTAAACCTTCGCAGCTAGGGAACCAGGATTAGTAAGGAATCTCCATGCCTGTTTCCCTAGCATCGCCAGATTAAAAGCACAGAGATCTTTAAAACCCAAACCTCCATATTTCTTAGGGACACATAGTTTATCCCAAGCTTTCCAATGAATTTTTCTCTCTGGACCACTTCCCCACCAATATTTATTCATCATCCTCTCAATGGATAAACAAACTGTTTCAGGTAGCAAAAAAACACTCATTGAAAAGATAGGCATAGATTTAGCCACACTTTTTAAAAGCACCTCCTTACCAGCATACGAAAGCAGTTTCCTCCACATAGGAAAAAACGGAACAAATTGCACTTTTGGTCCTGTGACTATTAGGGTACTGATAATTTGAGTATGTGACTTTCAAAACTCCCAATTTAAACCTTTAACTATGCAATTATTAGCACATTTGGTCCTCTTGGCCAAATTGCCTGCCAATTTTGGCCGGAAAAACATTTAATGTTTCAAATTAATTTGAGATGAGGGTAAAAACGTCATTGTGAGTGTATTTATATGGGGAAAAATCCTGCTGGGCTAATAAACGGCCAAATTTCCACCTCACTTTGGCGAGATTCACTTGACAGCTGCTGAGAAATTCCGACCGGCTTCCTCGACGGCGTCTGGACTGCTTCTCGACCTCCTCCGCTTGCAATGGCTAATTCGTATTCATCTTCTTCTTCTAATCATGCCAACGAGTTTTATGAATTTGGAGAAAGGTTTCCAATTGTCCATTGTAGATGTGGTGAGCAACTGAAAATACGCACTTCTTGGACAGCTGAGAACCCAGGTCGTAGATTTTGGCAATGCATGGGTGGTGATGTAAGTTAATTTTAGTTCTTTTTTTTTTTATGAAATACCTACGAAAACATCAATTTCGTAGGTATTTTTTTTTTTTGTTGAAATTAGTTTCAAACCCTAATTTATGAACATCAAATTCGTAGATATTTTCTGTTTTAGAAATTAGTTTAAAACCTTTTTTTTTTGCAATTTTTGTATTATTGCAGAGGAAGGTGGGATGTGATTTTATTGATTGGTATGATACTCCAATGTGCTATCGTTCAAAGCGAATAATTACAGGATTGCTAAAACGCATCAACCGACAAGATGAAGAGATACGAAAATTAAATTTGAAACTGAGAAGTGAACAAGGTTTGAAGTCCATGAACAAGGTTTTAGTAGTCTTGATTGTAATATTTGTAGCAGTAGTTGGTTGTAGGGTTTGGTAATGAAATTTCCAAGTTATGGTTTTGTGTCATGTGTGTAGTTTGGTATGTTTTGGTAATGTATGCATTATGGTAACCTTGCTGGTAATGTATGAATTATGGTTGGTTTTGGTAATGAATAAATTAGGCTTGGTTTTGGATATATATGTTTTGGTAATGTATGAATTCCAGGCTTGGTTTTGGTAATGAATGTATTGGATATTTATATTTTGGTAATGTATGATTTCCAGGTTTGGTGTTGGTAATGAATGAATTGGTCAGTTTGTACACAGTATATAGTAATGGAACTTGGACAAAAGCATGAAAGATACCTGTTGCATTACCATTCACAAAAACCAGTGTACTTTTAGTAGTTTGATACAAAACATCTAATGCAACCAAAAAGATACTAACTGGACTGTTTTACACAATATAACAAAAAACATTCAGACCTTAACTTATCCATCAGGTTTTCAAAACACAGTCATAAGCCAACCTAACAAGCACCTAGTTTGCAATCACTCAAGGTTAATTGGTTCACCCTTATTTCCAAAGAACTTGGACTTGAAGGTGGTCTTGCTCCTGGTATAATAGGGTTTTTTCCTATTGGATGGCCTCACTTTCCTTTTGCCCTTACTGTCCTTGGATTGGATTTCCTCCTGGTCATGTTGTTTTTGTGCTGCTGCTGGTAGGTCATCATGGTCATCTTGCTCCTGCTGCTGCTGGTCTCCATGTTCCTCATGAGGCTGGTTGTGCCCTGAAGGCAAGTGGATGGGGATTTGTCTGGTAGTATAAATTACCCTTTTTTTTTTTGCTTCAACTAGGACAAAACAAAGAAACATGAAAAGTAAACTTAGGCTTAATACAACAAAAAAAAAAATGTAGTTGTATATGTTATGGGAGGCCACAAAGTAAACCTTTTTATTTGGATTTGTTGGACATTTCCTTGCATTGTGGCCAGTTTGCCTGCACAGTCCACAATGTAATTGAATGTGTTGTCTGGACACATACTTTCCATCTATTGTCAATTCACCAGCTGACCTTGCCCTTAGCTTTTTTGGCCTCCCAACCTGCATAGCAATTTAGTCAAATAAAAGTTCATAGATAGGTCAATCATTAATGACTAGGCAATGCATATATACCTTGGCAGTATACAAAGGAGGCAATGGTGGGGTTCTGTCACATTGTGGCCACTCATCTGGACTTGTCATAGGGTTGATACAACCAGCATATACCTTCAAGTATATCTCTTTGGAGTAGCGGGGATGGACAAAGTCAGTAACTGCACCCTTTCCATACTTTTTCCATATAGCACAAATGGCATGTTTGCATGGAATGCCAGTTAGGTCCCAAACCCTACAAGAACATTTTTTCACCTTCAAATCAACCTCTTGTTGATCCCCATATAAATGGCCAACTTCAAACTTGAAGAAATCACATTGTGTTGCCAGGTATTTTGCTGCATCCTTCTCAATTTTCGTCAGTTTTCTCACAATTGCAGGACATATCAAAGATTTCCACTCTGCTGCTTTTTGTTTTTTCTCAAAGAATTTACCCATCAACATTTTCCTAAGAATTTCAAGACATTCTATAATTGGTTTGTCCCTTGCATCCCTTATAGATCCATTCCATGACTCACAGATGTTATTTACCAACGTGTCACAGTGAGACTTTGTAGAGAAGTGAGATCTAGACCACTCTGTTGGACTCTTATCACCAAGCCATTGGTATGCATCTTCATCTAAGCCCCTAAGTTTACTTAATTCAACATTGAATGCATTCAAAGTGGTTGCACAGCTTGTCATTTTTCAGAGTTTTAATCTCTTTGCCATTATTGAAAGCATAATTTTGCACAACTTCTCTAAACTATTGTTTAGATGCAAAAGTCATTCCTAAGCTAAACTGGGGGTCTTTCATGTCTGTTGCAGCTCTAAATATAGGCCACTTACCCTCAACATCACTATCAGAATCAACAATTGACTCCTCATCTGAAAACTTAATTTCCACCTCATCCTTTGTCATCATTTTTTTTTTGCTACTTTCCAGACAAGCATCATCCACAGTTCTAGCTTCTTTTGCTAAGTTTATAGCCCTCTGTTGTTCTGCAACCTGCTCATCTACCTTCAAACACTCTACCTCAATTGCATTTTCCCAATCACTTTCTGTCTCCAGTACTTCCATATTAGCATCAATCAAGTCCACCTCATCCATTGTTTCAACCCAAAACTCCAACATATTGCCTGGGTTCTCCTCATTCAATATACATATTACATCCATGTCAGACTTCAAACCATCATTCGAAAGGCAATATATTAGTGCTCCTACTTCACAATACCCTAAATTTTCAATCATATCCTTCAACACTTGTAAACAAATTTCCCTAGCTTCCATTCTGTCATACACTTCTACATCACCACCCATATATTTAACCTCACCTACCCTATTTATTATTCCATTATGGAAAAGGAAAACATAAAAAGGTCCAACTCCATCCCCTGTAAAGAAACCAATTACACATGCAGTAGTCAACATACTGGACCCCACAGACCACAAAGCAATAAAGGTATACAGAAATGGTTCCTAATCCCAGTTTATGCACATGGCATCTTGACAAAAGTATAAATATAGTGGTGGTGCCCACACAACACAACACAATAAGACAAAATGTTAAAAATACTTGCCCATAAATGGTCCCCGCAGAACAAAACAACAGTACATAATATATTCTATGCATATATAAAGCCTATGACAAAACCCTAGATATGCAGTAACTGTCATTCTACTCCACACACACAAAATAGTCAACCCAAACAATAAATATGCTCATACACTATCAATTTCTTCAAATTTAAACTCCGAACAAAAGTTTTCTTACTTAGTTGTAGAGCCATTCCAGTCGCAGATGATGAATTTCGCACTCTCCAAACCCAGAAGATGATGTCCACAATCGATGCTCCAGACCACTTGACACAATCGATGCTCCAGAAGATGACTAGTCGAAGATGATGTCCAGTCGCTCTACACGGATTCGTTACTTTCGTTCGAGCTTCCAGTAGTCGAAGATGAGGTTAAGTTCTCTGGATTTTCCCCCAAATCGTTGCTTTCCCCCCAATATGCAAGTGGTCTTGTTGACTAACTGACCGGAAGGTGTTTTCCCCCCAAATAAATTCACTAGCAATGACGTTTTTACCCTCATCGCAAATTAATTCGAAACATTAAATGTTTTTCCGGCCAAAATTGACCGGCAATTTGGCCGGGATGACCAAATGTGCTAATAATTGCATAGTTAAAGGTTTAAATTGGGAGTTTTGAAAGTCACGTACTCAAATTATCAGTACCCTAATAGTCACAGGACCAACAGTGCAATTTGTTCGAAAAAATAGCTGTTTTATTTCTTCCAATAAAAGACGGCAAGCCAAGATACTTCCTAAAATTAGGAGCTTGGACCACCCCAAACAATTCGCCATTACCTCCCTGTCCTCCTCTGTGGTATTTTTGCTGAAGCAGATATTAGATTTATGATAATTCACCATTTGGCCAGACAACTTTTCATATCTCACCAAACATTATTTAACCACACTGGCTTCCTGAATATTCACCTTAAAAAATAAAAGGCTATCATCTGCAAAGAAAAGATGTGAGATTGGGGGGCTCCCCTAGCCACTCTGCAATCATGTATTGTGCCTGCCATCTGGGCCTTCTGTAGTAACATAGACAAGCCTTCCGCACAAATAATGAATAAATAAGGAGACAGGGGATCTCCTTGCCGGAGCCCGCGGGTAGGGATTATTTGACCACTAGTCACACCATTTACCATAACATTGTATGTCACAGTAGTTACACACAACATAATCAGCTTAATCCATTTTTCATCAAATCCCAACGCCTCCATCATTTTCTTCAAGAACGGCCACTCCATCTTATCATAGGCTTTTGCCATATCCAACTTTAAAGCTCCACATCCCACCAAGCCACATTGCTTTCTATTTAAATAATGGCCCACCTCAGATGCCACCAAAATATTATCTGTGATTAACCTTCCTTGGATAAAAGCACTCTGGGACTCCGAGATTAAGTCTCCCATTAGCGGTTTCATTCTATTTGGCATCATTCTGGCCATGATCCTGTATAACACATTACTTAATGCAATCGGTCGCATGTCTGCAGCCGTCTCATGCACACACTTCTTAGGGATTAGCACAATATTCGTTTCATTTAAACTTTCTGGGAAAGTGCACGAGTTCAGAGCATTCACAATAAAAGTAGATACATCCCCTCCAACCACATCCCAAAAATGCTGATAAAAGCCCGGATTCATACCATCCGGCCCCGGGGCCTTATCAGGAAACATAGAAAAGTTGTTTTCACCTCATTAATATCAAAAGGTCGCAATAGAGCAGTATTTTGCTCGAGAGATATCCCAGGGGCGAAGTTATCAAATAAAGGATCATTGCATACAGAATTACTAGAGGCGGAAATATCATTAAAATATTCCAAAATAACAGAGCTCATATTCTCCCCTTCCACCCACACCCCATCATAGTTCTTTAATCTGTCAATAAGATTCTTTTTCCTACGAACAGAAGCATACCTGTGATAGAATTTCGAGTTGGTATCAGCCCCACGGAGCCAGTGCTGTTTTGCTCTCTGCCTCCAGAATATATCCTCCTGGGTTTCCAGTTGGGACAATTGATTTTCCAAACTGTGAAATTCGGCAACCGCTTCCGGATCCCGTCTGTGTCTAATTTCTTCCTGCTTCTTACGTAATTGTTTAATGCGGTCCCCAAATTTCAGAAAATGATCCCCGCCCCATTGCATCAGACTGTCTCCACATTGCTGCTGACAATTCAGCAACCCCTCAGTCCTCCCATCCTGTCAGGCAGTCTCAACCACACCCCTACATCCTTCATCCAGAAGCCAGGTCATCTCGAACTTTAAGCCTCTCGGCCCCCTATTCCCTCGTATACATGATGCGTTAATACTCAGGAAGAGTGCAGAGTGGTCTGATGTGTGAGTCTGTAAATTTTCAACGCACCTATTCACATCTCCCCAAGATGCCGTTTCCAATACCTTGTCTAGTCTCTCCTCAATCCAATTACTAGTGCCCTTGCTCTTATCCCAGGTGAACTGATGACCTCTCATAGCCAACTGTATTAGACCACAATTATCGACCGCCTCCCCAAAACCACGAAGGAGACTGTCCGGGTGTGGGTTACCCCCCTCTTCTTATGTTGATAAAGAAGATCGTTGAAATCCCCTATCACAACCCAAGGCAGAGGAGATCTCCCACTCAAAGTTTCTAGCAGATCCCATGCTTCTCTTCTCCTATTTCGGTTCGGATTACCATAAAAGCATGTCATACGCCACACCCTATCATCACGAATACGAACTTCCACATCCACATGATTTTTAGAATAACTCAAAAGTCGCGCAATATTATTCTTTTTCCAAAACAATGCTAGGCCACCACTCAACCCTGCATTATGAACATAAAATAAACCCTCAAAACCAAGCTTAATACGGAGGCGTTTTGCATGCATCCGACGAACCTTAGTTTCCATTAAGTACACAAAGTCTTGCTTCTTACAGGACACCATGTCCAAAATCTCGCGAACTGTCCATGGGTTGCCCAAGCCATGGCAGTTCCAACTTATAGTACTCATTGGGTCGGGCGGGCCTGGGAACCAGAATCCGCCTGCTGCAAGTTTTTTGAAAGTTCAGCCATGATCACATCATCATCACCTTGTCCATACCCATTACTATCCTCCCCCTCACGACGCTGTTTAGCCACCGCCACAAATCCAGGCTCACCACCGTCATATGCTCGTTGCGCCATGGCAGGACGCTGCCCTCCTTCGACCATCCTTGCCGCCGGTAAAACAGCCGGCGCCTGCCGATTCGCTGGCAACAACCAACTGCCCCCGATCGGTCTGGGGCCGCGGGAACTTCCTGCTCGTAGCTCCAGGCCGAAAGGATACTCCTCAACGAGCAACACAGAGTTCCTTGCACCTCGGCAAAATTTGTAAGCATGGCCTAGCATCCCGCAAAAGAAACAATATGTGTGCAGTCGTTCATACTGAAACGAAACCCAACAACTCGTCTTGTCTCGCTTGATAAACTTCATACGTGTTTCAAAGGTTTGTCAATTGGTAACGAAACCCTAATTCGATAAAAAGCTCTCCACGGCACATGCACAAACTGATCATCCCTTTTGACAAACCCTCCGAGAAAATTTCCAATCTGCTCCAATATCTTCCCAGACGTATATCCCATTGGCAACTCGTGAACCTGCACCCACATATCCACCGAATCAAGAATAACATTCACGGGCATAACTCCATCCGGTACCCGCTTGCACACCAAGGTACTATTGTTGAAAGACCATGGCCCCTCATTCAGAACCCGTTCTACATCCGTTATGTGATGCAAAACGAAGAGGAACAGCCCTGGTTGTATCTCCGTGGCCTCAACACCACTGACCGGTTGCCAAACAGAGGCCATTACTTGACTCATGAACTCAAGCTTAACAAGCTTCCTTGTCAAGAAACGGCCAACAACTCCCCATGATTCCTCCACCGCTTCGATGGACGCTCCCTCGCTGTCGTCGACCTCTTCTGTAGGCACGAAGGCGGCCTCCTCCTCTTCAAGAACAAGATCCGCCCACTTGGCTGTGAGCCATGCGGCAGACGTCGATGCTGATGTCGTTGCCATCTCTTTGCTAGCAGAACCCTAAGCTACGCCGGAAGTCAACCGGAAGAAAGTCGAAGTAGTCGACGAGAAGCCCTAGAAACCCTAGGTAGAGAATTAATTATGATATAATTGTTTTGTTAGTTAATTAAGCTAATTTTAGGCAAACTATACCAAGGATCCGTGTTTATTTTATATTGTCGATCATACTTCAAAATATATTTAAATTATGTACTTACAGTTAGCATATTACTTACAAATAAATTGAAGGTAATATTGGAGAATATGGGTATGATGAGGGTGATGGGAATTAATATTTTCAAGTTTGTACCCACTTTTCTATAAGTTTTAAATTTCTCTCCAACAAGCAATGAGATACAAGACTTAAATTTATGAGATACAAGAAGATGTTACGAAATTCTTAAATATCAATTCAATTGTTACTGCTCTTGATTCTTTTCTATCAGGCATAACTGTATCAATATCAGATCATTAAGCTTTAAGCATTTTGCCTTGATTAATTGAATCCAAAGTGCAGGGGTCTTATAGTCATCTGATCTGGTATATCACTCTCTCTTAGGGGGGTGTATTCAATCATGACTTTCATAGAGTTTTAAAGACTTTTATGAACTTTAAAAGTTTGGAGGTATTCAATTCAAACTTTTAGAGAGTATTTAAAAGTCAGGCGGTATTCAATCAAGATTTTTAAAGAATCTTTAAAAGTCGTGTGGTATTCGATTAAGACTTTTAGAGAGTCTTTAAAAGTCACGTGGTATTCAAAAAGTTATGAACTTTTGTAGACTTTTTAATTTTAAGACTTTTGAGACTTTTTCTTCTCAAATATAAATAGTTGAAATCCAACCATCAACCCCAAGATTTCAAAATTTTCTTTCTAACAACTTTGAATATTTTTTCTCTCTATTTAAACTCTATTTTTCTCCCTATTTAAACTTTATAAACCTATCTAAATTTAATAAAATTAATTTTTTCTTCATTATCCCATATTTTCCTCATACCTAAAACTCTACCAATTTTTTTCTCTCTCCTAAACTTTACAATCTTCCTCTAAAAATTCGAAATAATATTATTTTTACTTCATTATTGTTTGTTCATATTGATTTTTATTTTTTCAATGAATTTTTTTATCCCTAACTTTCTCTAATTCTCCCTAAATACATGAACAAAGCAAATTTTTCATCATCAAATTTTAGTATATGTTTCAAAATATTCATATAAATACTTATATGTTTTGATTTTTATTCTTTTTATGTTTATATTCGTAATATATATTCTTCCTATTTTTAACAAGTTACTACGAATAGCGAACTACTATTCGCAACAACAATTTGAGGTTGCAAACAGTAGCACCTTCTTGTTGTTCGGAGTCTCTTGTTACAAATAATAGGTATTTGCGTGATTTCTAGCAATACATCAAGTATATATATATATATATATATATATATATATATATATATATATATATATATATATATATTAAATTTTTATTTTATTTTTATTTTATGCAACTTGTAATTATATTTTTAAATATTTTATTTGATAAATTCTTTTATTATAAATTTTATTATTCAATATTGTTATAAATTTCTAATGAAATAATTTTTTTATTTTTATTAATATTAATATATATAAGTAATTAGCATATAAGTCTCAACCTACATACTATGGAGATAAGTAATAATAATGTTGAGAATGTTGATGTGGGTGAAGAACTATATAATAAGATAATTTTATGATATATTATAAATGTTTTGTAAGAAAATTATACAAATGATAAGAATCAAAATCATTGAAAGTTTGTAAGGATGTATTCAATTTAGAATTTCAATGACTTTTGTAGACTTTTTAAAATAAAAAGTTGATAAAAGTCAATGAATGTTTTTTATATAGACTTTTATAGAGTCTTATAAAGTTTTAAAAAGTTTTGAACGACTCTATGAAAGTCAATCAAAGTTTATTAAAATCTATCATTTTAAAAGTTTTTAAAACTCTACAAAAGTCATGATTGAATACAGCCCCCTTATTCTCGTTTTGTTTACTCATTAGTTGTTTTACTAATTACTACTTTACAGCTTTAATAAATACTACCTCTCGTTGTTAGCAATGGCTATGATGATGTTTCCATCATTTGTATGAAACAAAGGGTTCTGGGTTGATATGTTGCTCATGAGTTTTAATTTGGATCCTATTCCAAAACTTAAGTAGCAATTTGCCCCCAATCTTACCTTGATATGAAAACATAGTTTGAGCCTTTTTCCTTTCTTAGCACAATTGTGATGGTGTCATGGTGGTTTCAACTTCCAAGTTCCCATAATATGTTTATTTAACTTGTGTTTTAAATTTACACAGAAAGGGATGAAGTTGTTAACTTATTGTAAACTTGTAATTTCTAAACTTGTAAGTCGTAATTTGGACATTTGAATTTGGAGTTTGTCAGTTTGGAGTTTGGACATCTACATTTCAAAAATGTAATTTTGTATTATATTTCATCTTAGTTTTGTAAGCTGTAACATGTAAATTAGTAAATATGTAATTTTTAACTTAAGTTTATAGTTCACTAAGTATTTTAGGTTTTTTTTTTTAATAAATCTGAATATAACCGAAATCTGATAACAAACCAACCGAACCTGAAATATCAAAATCCGAATAGATTACCTTCTAATAAAAGAAGAATTGGACAGGATGGTTCTAAAAACCAAACCACTCGAAACTGTCTAATGCATAGGACTATTTATAGGTGGAGTTTAGGGTTCAATCTTGTAAATAACATAAAATTTGGGGTATAAAATGCAATTGTCTCCCTAATAATTTGAATATAAAATATAATATCTCATCCTTAATTTGTCATCACTTTGTCTAATTTTCATTGTCATCCACTTCCCTAATAATTTTCCTTCAAGGTGATACATAATATATTATAACATATTATTGAGGAAAATGAGATATCGTTGCCTTTCATGCCACTTTTAACTATCATGACATCTGTATATGGCTCTATGGTCTTCATGAAGATTATAGCCCTTTGAATTATCTTTTCACCAGTTCAAGAATCTCTCAATTTGGATATTTTTGCAGTGAAATATGAGCACTCCTTGGAGTCTTAGTTGCCTACATTCCTCGTCCTTCGATCCGAGCGGGCAAGGCCCAGGAGAGGACGTAGGCGACGTGTTCGATGAAATGCCTTAGCCAATTCTATTGGTCTAAGAGGCTAGGTACGAATCGACCTAGCATTTGCAAGACGGCTTCCAAGAGTGGCCGCAAGTTACACCTTCCAAATCCGTCTTCGTAGACTAATGCATAAGAGCAAAGCCCGCACTCCGACTTCTTGTTTCATTTTGTGAATTTTCTTGCTTAGTGTTGTATTCCCTTGTTGTTCCCACTTTGCTATCATGTATATTTTCGTATTAGTAGTTTCTCATTAGGACCTTTCCTAGATAACTCGGCACATTACCACTCCAAGTTGTCATCCACGAGAGAACAACACTTGGGAGTTTTCGCTTTCGTTTCACGTCTTATCATTTACCATACACTTCACATTCCAACTCACCCAAAGAATACTCCTTCATGAACCCAAATTGGTTGCATGCTTGGCAAACTGGTGTGAAGAGTGTGTTCCCTTTATGGTTAATTTTATCCCATTGATAGGGGTTTTTGTTTCCTTAGTATATTTCTTGAGTTGCATAGTATGGCACATGGTTAACACATTTGCTTGATGATATGAGGGATTTCACCCCCTCCGTTTTCTTGCACATTCTTCTTGATTGACCATTTGTTTGATTAAGCTATCTTTGAAGTATCTTTGACACTTATTTATTCTTCGTTTGATTGAAAGCTTGCTTGAGGACGAATAAGAGTTAAAGTGTGAAAACTTGTGATAAGTGCCAAAGGCACTCATTTATAAGGGTCTTTATGTAGTTACCTAGTGCCTAATTGTAATCCTTTGTGGTTGATTTATGGTCTAATGTGCTTGAATGTGCTAATGTGTTGCAAAGCTCTACCATATCTTGCACTTTGGTGTTTATGAAGGGAATTGAGCTTAAAGGAAGGCATATGGGCATGAACCGGAGCATCCCAAGAAGAGAGCAAGCGGATCCTTTCAAGAAGAAGCATCCACGATCGTGGATAAAAAATATAATGCTTCCACGATTGTGGAGTCCTTGTGGATTGAAAACAGAATGTTCCAACGAGCAGGATCCACAATCATGAAGAGAAACGCCGAATGGTTTAAGTGTGCAATCCACGAGCGTGGAGGGCTCGTGGATGCAATGCATCGTTGAAATTCAAGTGTATTTGGGAGGGAAAAGCTATTTAAGCCTAGATTAGATATTTTAGTAAACACTAGTAAATGATGAGACAGCCGAGAAGGCAATACCTGAACGGTGCACTTCCAGCTCGAGCTTAGAAAGCGAGAGCTCAGGCGAAGAGAAGGGACTCATCTACCTCTACAGCCAGCACGACTCAGATGAAGATCTATGCCTAATGGAGAAAGACGAAGAGGTAAACTCTCGATCCTCTTTTTCTACCCAATGTGAATCTAAGTCAAGCTGTGATGAAGATCCTATGAATTTGGTTCTTAAACTGATGAAGGACTTCAAGCTAGTCAAGAGCACTCTAAAAGAAAAGAATGCTCAACTATTGGCTGAACGAAAAAATTTTAAGGGCATTATGCTAAAAAAAAAAAAAAAAAAAAAAAAAAGATGTTGAGCACAATCAGCTAGTTTGAAAAACAAGTTCTCTTGTTAAAGGAAGAGTGCAAAGCAAGAGAAGTGAGAGAGCATAATTTTCTAAGATTGAACTTCATGTGTAAGTTTTATCAACCAAAAATAATCCTTATATATTATACCCCCACCAACTACTGGTCCAAAGCACAGGACCCTCAGTTCCACCACCCAATTCACAGGGAAGATCAGCACTGTCATATCTCAACCACTTACAGGAACTCTTTTGCTCCATGAAACTGTTTTCGCCATCCCATGGACTCCTCTAGCCAGTAATACTACTGGATTATCAGCAATTGTAGAAATATGACATTTGAAATTCAAAAAATAATATTATTTAGGCAGTAGCATCTGGTTGAACACTCACACTCAAAGCATGTAAAAAAGAATGAAATTTTTTGAAAAAAGTACACAAATTTGGCGAAAACGTTCCGGGAAACTTGTCGCCGACGTTGCTCGTAGTCATAGGTCGCTGCTGACCCTTCTAATAGCCGATGCTCGCTACCGATACTCAGACGAAGGGAGGGAGATGCGCCGGGGGAAGGAAAACACCGTTGCTCATCATTATCGCTGCTCACGATGCCTTCGTCGACAAGAGAGGGGAGTCCGACCGTCGTAACCTTCAATCGTCGTTCAGGTCACCGAAGCTAGTGGAGAAGCGGTTGCAGAAGGTTGTGGAGAAGTGGGCTAGCGGCTAAAGAAGTTTGTGGAGAAGGGGCTGTACAAGTATGCTAGGGTTTTATTTATTACAGATTATTATTTAGGAGTATTCGAATTTAAAAAAAAAAAAAAAAAAAAAAAAAAAAAAAAAAAAAAAAAAAAAAAAAAAAAAAGCAGTCAATTTTAGCAACTATTTTGTTTAAAACAGACACGAAAAGTGCTTGTCTTTTTAAAATTACACTTTTGGCACCCATTGTTTTAGTACAATAGATGCTATATATTATTTAAAAATTACAAAAATATCACCACCCATTTTTTAGTATCTATTTTTAAAACAACATATGCTAATAGTCCAATTTTTTTTTTTTTTGTTTTTGTCAAATATGTACCATGCCTTGCATGTTGTCCTTTGTAGCACCCATTATGCATTCATCTAGACCCAGCCACCTTGATGTTTCTCCAACATTAATTCGTCCCCTGAAATAACTTGCACATGTCTCACCCCAGGGTTGAGGCTTTAGCAAACACCTTACCAATCTCTAGTGGATTTTTATCCACCCAACCTTTTGTTTCCTTGGCAAAGCTTGGAAAACATACTCATTGCATTGCCTTCAAATCCACCAAATGGATACAAAAAACCACACACTCCATCCTCCAAAATATTTGACCATTTCTCTCGTTAGTGATATTACTCATAAACCAATCGTTAAAGTTTAAAGTCCCATTAACCTCTATATTCGTTGTAGATAGTAATTTTCATCAAATCACCTTTTTACCAAATTCTCATACTCTTCTAACCCCAACCAATAACATATGTTCTTCATCTTTGAGAGTTCAGGTACTTCTTCATAATATCTTGATTAATCTATGACAATTAACTGTTTATCTTGATTACAGTACTGACTCAAATGAGGCTTAATCAGTCGTTACGCCAGATTAGAAATTTTTGCAATAAACTAATCAAACAGTAAATGCAGTAAACAATGAACACACATATTTGTTTACCCAGTTCGATGTAACCACATCTACGTCTGGGGGACCTGTAATACCCCCGATTTCCATGCCATTTTAAACTTAAATATGCAAGATAATCTAACCACAATATAAGCAAAACACAGCGGAAGTCTAACTATATAAAACTGGAAAACGAAGAGTGTTATGCCACGTCCACACTAAGGTGAACGCACAAGCAATAACATCATCACATCACAGTCTAGAAGTCTAACAAGAGACAAAGTCAAACCAACAACAATCTATTGTTCATCACAAGAGGCACACAGGCCCATAACAAAACTAAATAGAGTCAGAGGGAAACTACACTAGCCATCTCTATATCGCGCTCGCCACTACTCGGGACCTGAAAACACATAAATAAATAGGACGACGCCCGATCAGCGAATAATGCTGGTAACCCACCAATACATGTTAAGTATCATACATAGATAGTATATACAAAATCATTTTCGAAACGGAATACTGTATATATATAAGTTCAAAGCCAAAGATAGAAGTCAACCACAAGACTCTATACCACTCACAACAAGAATAAGGGAACACATCCCAAGACATCAAGAAGCAACAACGACAACACAAGTAAGACTCAAGGTATATTCTACCATCACTCAGTAGAATATCACCCGACATGCTCAAAACAAGAGAATAAAGACACACATTGGCAACACATGCCTTCGTGACATCACTCGTCACGAATAAGGAAACACACATCGGCAACACATGCCTTCGTGACAACACATGTCACAAATAGAAGAATCCTTCCTTATGCTCGGTTCCAACCTTATGGCTACCCCCAACCTTATAGCTAGTTCCAAACATTACCTCCATGACCCCTGTACAGCCAAGTCCAACCTTATCCCTCCGAGGACCGTCATCCCCATCCGCCGACAACTGCCAACAATTTCCACCAATTCATAGTACATGAGGGTACCGATCACACACTTTGGCAACACATGCCTCCCAAGAAATACGTGAACCCGGCACACAGGTCACAACCTCCATAATCACGTCATGGCCACCACGAGCACCACTGTCGTACCTTGGTGACTAATGTCCCATTCCATTAATCGTGCAATCCAGGTACAGCCACACAAACAACACCACCATAGGAATCAATCAACGGATACGATGAAGATATGAAACCATACTCAACAAGGAAAAGATCACAATCCGACAACAACGATGATCACACAAGTCATCATCTACCAAAAAGGATAGGACAAATAACACACACTAGCATTTAAACACCGAACTAGCATGCTTATCAAACGGGTAAACAAAACATAGTTTCGAAGAACACACAAGACTCATCAGGGTTCAACAAATCACAAGGTTGAACACTTAGCACGATTCAAGACACCAAAACCTACATGGAATCCTACCATATAGTTCTAGACATACGAAACATCAAGAAGACACTCAAATAGTTCCACAAAAGAACATCGGGAAGTCAAAACATCAAATACCGAGTCAAAAGAATCACGGGGAACAAATCCCCAACCATCACCATATACGTACCCCGCGGGTGGGGCCACGGGTGGACCCCCACCCGTGGTTCCGTCCGCGGGAACACACTCCCACAACCAACGTACCCCGCGGGTGGACCCCTACCCGTCGTTCCGCCCGCGGGTACCATGCCCTGGACAAAATAATCCCTTCGGGGATTTTTAACACCAAGCTTAAATTCAAGTCCAAAACATCCAAAATCTCACCAAATACAACAAAATGACTTGAATAAAAGGAATAGCCAAGCAATGGCATACAAGAACCCTAATAACAAGCTCTAGATATGCATTCTCACAAGACAATGCATCAAAACCCACATTTCATAACAAAATCACAAGTAGAATCCAAGAAATCATCATATAGGTAAGTAAAATAGATTTTGTAAAGCATGGGTTACCTCTTGAAGACTAAACCTTCACTTATAACACTTCTCAAAGCTCCTAACAATGTTCACCTTCAACACCCACTTCAAGAACACACCAAAAGACCATAAAGATTTCATCTTTAGAAAAAGATACCTTAGAAAACACTAAAAACACAAAAGGAACATAGATCTTACCCTCCTAGATGCTCAAGAGTAGGAAAGGTGGAATCTTGGAGACAAGCTTTGAAGATTTAGGAAAGTCTCAACTTAGCTTGGAAGAAAAGCTAGCTAAATTTTTAGAGAGAAGGAAGAGCTTATGTTTTGAAAGTGTAAGGGAAAGAATGAAAGGTGTCTTCTAGGTTAGCTTGGAATACAATCATGAGGTGAAATGTCTTCATTACTCTTACTAAGATGAAGAAGTGTAAGGGAACAAAGGAACTATTCTCAAAGCTTTAGGTACAACACCTTGACTTCGGTAGACTAGTCAATTACTAGTCCCTGACTATTGAATTTTCAGAAATTAAAAGAATAAATCACCAATTGGATTAGGATTAATTACTTAATTAATCCTTAAATGGAATTTGGATTTACGAGGTGTCACAGGACCACCAAGAATGAATAATCCAATCCACAATATAATCTCAAGGACTATTTAGACATACTGTAAGAGAACAATCTCACCAGATGTGTGTTATACCCCACACTATAAATACTCAATCTCCTAAACACCATAGACATATTTTTGAGCTCGGAGATCCATGCCTTCAACTGTCCGAAGAATATCGGAGATCCATTGCCTTGATTGTTTGCCTCATAGATTGACCCACCTCTCTACCAGAGCTAATATGGGATACGGTCCAGTAGAAGAGATAAAATCTCTTGTTTCCTTCTCAAGATTTGATCAGCTTCAATCTTCAAAGAATATCTTAATAAAGTATTTTTCTAGAATAATTATTGAGTAAATATAGTAGCTAGAAATATGATTCTTCAAATCAATTCTAGATCACTTCCACAATCATCATCATTTTCTCTCTCTAAAGAAAGATTATATATTTTGGAATAAGTGAGATTAATTCAAAGATATTTTCCTGTAAAACAAATTACCCTTTCACCCTTGAGGCGTTAATTGAAAGTGTAGTATGATCTCTCAATTAATTAAGGATAGACTTGTAAAACATCTCAAAATAGTTTTTCCATTTTAATCGTAAAATAGCTTCTGGATTAGATTCTAGGCGATCAGCTGTTGCAGGTTATGTTCCATCAGGTTTTCAATCAGTCTACGAACCAGCAACACTAAGTCATAATCTAAAGTATTGTCATATTAATATGCAAATTACATAGTGGGATTTAATTACATGGTAAACACTAACCATCTTCATAAATTCGATACATGCAAGTTTGGCTTCAATGTGATCAGGAAGATTACCACTTATCTTATCCCAATTTTGTAACGTTTTATTCGTTACAATTATTATAACATTATGATAAGTTATGATAATATTCAGTATTTGATATGTGGTGCAACACTAATAACCTAATAGCTAGACTACCATTATGATTAGGAGTCTGGTTAGGTTTAGGAGACCTAAAGACATACAACCACAATGATGGCCAGTGGTTATATAAGGTCACTAGTCCTCTCACTGCTCACATTACATACCTCATACACCATCTAGAGAGAGCTGAGTAAAGTGAGAGACAAAATATTCGTTATCTCTGCAGCAATCCGGATAGCTCAACCGTATCAAGAACTATGGCTGGAGGTTAGTCGGTCTTGTGTCACACAGTAATATGCATGTGATATATATTTAGTCTAAACATTGGTATCAGTCGCCATATATAATATATGTCTGGTTCGTTCTGTTTAATTGCATATATATAATATTTGCATATGTTGTATACGGTTTTGTATAATTGAGATGCATGTGTAAATATTTTTGAGTCCGCAATTAAATTTTCTGGACTGCTGAAAATAATTTTTCCGCATTAAGAAACAAAAAAAAATTAAGTA